TCCCCCCCCCCAACCATCCACATGCATGTAGTTCTGTATGCACGTCCCAACAGACAAAGTCAGAGGAGCAAAAGATGAAACAGGAAGGAGGGAAATGGGAAATGGGGGAGGGGGGGGGGAGAAAGAAAAGAAACAAGGCGGCTAAAATAATGCAGCAGAAAGAGGAGGAGATAGATCCATGCATGAGTCATGGAACGCAGGGACTACAGACATTTCAGAGAATGAAAAAATACCCACTAGCATTACAACGAACCATGAACCATACGTCTACTGTTTATTCATGTCATACAAATTGACAGTACAATCAACACATTACAATGTATGTTGTTAGGAACCTATACATGATGCTGTAAATGATGACAAAACTGCTAAGATGAATGGAGGATGAAGAGTTAAAATTAAGAATTTCTTGTTTAAATCTTAAATTATCAGCTGCTTAATGTGCTCAAGAAAACTCTTACCCTATACGATAACACTCGTAGACCTTGACTTACTGTACATTAAAAAGTAAGTTTGTGTTACAACTCTCTTGTTTTTATCTATCTGTCTTCCCTTTTCCACAGCTCCAAATTAACATTATCATGTCGATGTACTTTTCTTTACACAGAGTCAAAGTCAAAGGTGATCAGGAAAGCTTCAACTTACAATACAGACCTGCCAAAACATATAATATATATACATGTATTCCATTCTAGATACAGGAGAGTGGTAAAGAAAACAACAAGAAACATGTACAAGTTTGATGTAAAAATGACACACCAGTTACGCAATGTCTTTTACAAGATTCATCCTCACAGTCAGAGCTATAATAAGCATGCAAATGAAAGCACAGTCTCCATTGGACAGACCCGACAGCCTTACAGACTAGTAATGAAATGTATCAATTGATTCCAGGCCAAGTGGAACACAACTCTAACATTCTATCAACAGAATCAGTTTGTTCTCGTTGCCCTGTTCTAAATATGATACGCGTACCAAAGTCAGCTATGGGGCAATCCTAGAATCAAACATAGGCCTATCCTGTCCAAAAACTGGTTTTTGAGGCACAATTTGCAAACATAAAAATGGGATTTTAAGATTTCCAGCATTATCACCAAACGTGAACATTTTAATCATCATTATCACAACATTATAACATATATATATATGGAATGAGCATGAGAACTTCTTTGATGACACTACTAGCCTCTATCTATTTCCCCACCATTTCTTGATGACTACCATTACTAGTACTGTACCATCCATGCTACAACAGCAACACTGCCTGCCTTCATGAAAACTCATTCACAGCCACTCCCACACTACATGTGTCAGCATCAATACAGAAGTCAGCACAGGACAAACAGATGCTATCACTTGGCGTTCACCACAGAAGAGATGAACAACACAAAACAATGCTGCAACAGTAAAAAGTTCCACTATTTCATTGACCTGCCTGGCAGTACTTGTATCATGTTGACGTCTTGAGTGGAACACTCTACTATTACTATTTGACACAATGTCCGTCATTTCAAAAGGTGGAGTACCTGCCACATACGGTACCTTGACAAGGAGAATAACAGTTCAAGGAATGGCATGAACGTTTTGGACTTGACATGGAAGAGAACCCTGAACTTTTATGCAGTTGCCAAGTAGTAGGCCTTCTTAACTAACTGTACTCCAACTGATAACCTGGCGGACTATGAGCAGTTATCTGCCAACTGGTGCTTTGAAGAAAACTGCACACCATAGATGAGACAAGAGGTATTCATCATTTGATTATTTATAGATTTCTAAAGTTGTTACTACATGATTTGTTGATTTGTAATGTATTTATAGATTGCTAAAGTTGTTACTACAGGATTTGTTGATTTGTAATGTATTTATAGATTGCTAAAGTTGTTACTACAGGATTTGTTGATTTGGATTCTTGTTGTATGAGCCAAAGAGTTTTTAGGATTGAAAAGCCATCTTCTTGCTCACACTAACTGATGAATTCCGAATTCTGTTCGCATGCCATTCAACATGGAGACTGCAGGAATGAAAAACCTTACTGCACCTTTTGTTATTTTCCCATTTCTGAGGTGAACGCCATCCACACCCAAAGCAATAGCCATAACACACTCATCTCACAGTACTGTGAGACTGTGATTCTCTTCCATTCATATCCGAGTTAACTTGACAACAAGTCTTTTAGTCTTCTCTATAGATACAGTTGCATCCTCTCCGAGACTTTTTGTGTCAAATGTCCCAGTCGTTGAGGGCTGTGAGTCATCTATGCTGTCAAAATCCACCTGCCGTGCACAAAGTTCCATCGCTGATGAATTCTGTTCCTCATCAGAACACACCCCCACTTCCACGGGGGACAATGGTTCCAACTTCGGCGTCAAGAACGGCCCAGAATTCTCTCCACAACCGTGACCAGGGTCTGTATTAGGACAAAGGTCATCCGGTTGCGTTTGAGAAGCATACTTTTGCAGAGAGGTCAAATAGACTGTTGCAAGATCATCTCTGCTGACCTGAGAAGACGATGTCTGGCTCGCTTCAGATAAACGGACATCGGAAACAGAAGTAGAACCGGCTTCTAGACAGTCCTCAGATGGTTGCTGTAACAGACAGCCCAATCGATCATTGCAATCTTCTGACACATTTTTCAGACTAGTTGAAGGAACTGAGAAGCTTCCGTCGGTAAGCCCATGAGATGATGCATCATTGTTGTGTGAGAAAGCATGGCCTGTCGAAGACGTTGAATCATTAAAGGAAACACACAGGTCATTTGTGGGACTAGCAACCCTTGCTCCTTTTGTTTTTGGTCTTTTAGTCTTAGACGACTTTCGTGGAAAATCTGCCTCCGAGTCACAACTTTCTCTGTCCTTATTTTTGATGCTATTCTGAACCCGCAGAAGTACAGTGGAAGATACATGATCATAGATTGAGCTGCCCTTGGAACGCAGACAGCTACGCTTGACTTTATCTTTTCGGGATTTTTTAACAGCAGGCGAGGAAGGAACTGAACCAGCTGACACACAACTCATCTTAGCCTTGCCTTTGCTGGTGCATTCAGCAGACTGAACATAAAAGGCAGGAGGGAACGGCTTAAGCTTAAGCCATGTCACAGAAGAAGTAGCTTCATTTAGTTCTCCCTTTGTCTTCATTGACACTCCCTGAGATGGCCCGCGAGAGGCTGCTGCCGTCTGCGTACAACATGTCCGAGAAGGTATGGCTAGGGTTTGAACTTTTTTATTGTACGAGGCTGTTCCATTAGCCAAATCTGACTTCCTGCTTGCCCGCTCACCATAAGAAGATAAAGTCTGTACTTTTCTGTCCCTCAAATTTTCGCGTCTGCGAATTTCATACTGGTCTATAATAGTCTGTGGAGCTTTCCCAAACTCCTTCATTGCATGCACAAGATCAGCATCACTGATTAGACAGTCCCACACGTCGAGGAATTTGGTCACAACAGGGACATATGTCTTCACATCTGTTGCCAACTTCTGCTCCATTACAGAACAAAACTTAGACAATCTCTCTTTCACTTTCTTTGCTTTGTCAGCCAGCAGAATAGTCTGCAAGGCTTCTGATACCTGTTGATGAGTGTTAGTATTTATCATTGGTGATTTTTTCTTTAGCAGACTGGCTCGAAATCGTTTGGCATTGTATAAATTAATAGGACTCCGTTTAGGAACTATTTTCTTTGATGATGATGATGATGATGATGAATTTGACAGGTCTTCTGCAGCTTTTCTCTTCACGGCAAGTCTTCCTTTATTACTACCACTACTGGTCCCCATGGAGCTGTAGGATGACAGGTGCTTTGGTTTATTCAAATACTGTGAGCCATGAGTCTGTTGGGGGAGGGACAGGTCAGGACCGGGGAAACTCAAGTGTGGAGGAAGCCTTTTATTCTCGAAACTGTGCGGGTGAAACGCCTCCACAGCAGACGGCCGGGGTTGTGCGAATGAGCTGGGGGAAAAGTGAGACAACGTAGTATTGTGAGGAGCTGTTGAATCATGTCCTATCATGTTCTGGGAGTAGAAACCATGGGATACGGGCTGGTGGTAGCCGGCAAAGCTTGATGAGCTGAAATCAGAGGAGGAGAAGTTTGGATGTGCCATGGTGTGAGTGTGAGTATGAGCGAGGCTACTGTGGAGCTGATGGTGCTGGTGATGAACGGTATAATCGAGGGTGGAAGACGCGAGTGGTGGCTGGGGAGGAACGACTGGGTGAGAGGTAGTGCCTCCCGACACATCTGCTCCCAGTACGTTGTTGTGATGTTGTTGCTGTAGCTGCATAATGCTATGGTGGCTTGAAGACGCTACGCCCATTCCATCGGGAGATCCAAGATGTGAAGCAGCTCCCCTAACATCCAAAAAAGCCAGATGTTGTTGGGGTTTCGGGGTTTGCATACCACTGGCCAGAGCATTGCTGCGGTACAGCTTGCTGCTGGAGCCATCAAAGCTCAGAGTCTCCATGTTCTGCAAAGTGAGGACTGGGGCGCTGGAACCTGAGAACAGAACACCACCTTGACCTTGACCCTGGGCTGATGACAAGGAAGTATCAAGAGCATCAGTCTCTACTGAAGATAACCTATGTGAATCGGATGGCTTTTGAGCAGAGCAGGAAAGGTTGGTATCCTCTGGATTTTCAGCTCCCGCACTTTGCATAGACCAAGTGCTGTCATTAGCTGTCAGTAATTTGGAATCTCTGGCTACTTCTGTACCCCTCACAAAGCTGACATTTGTCTTGGCATCAACACTTTCCTTAGTTTCGCTAAAATCATCATTTTGACTGTCTGCAAACTTTGAGGCACACTGCTCAAAAGCAAGCCTATTTGCGTCTGGGTTATGCTTTGATGCTCGTTTGGTTGCTGACCTGATTGAAGTTTGACCACTGATCGACTTGTACATCTTTGTGAGTCTGCCTGGCTTCGGCATATAGAAACTGTCAATGGTTACCGCTAGGTACTTCTCTGGGCCCAACTGTTTGTGTAGGTCCCACTTGTGTTTCTCCAGCGCATCTTTAGGCTTCATACCCTGCTTGAACATCTCTTCAAAACGTTTACGGATCTCGGGGCACAGCTCTCTTTTATTCAGCATCTCAGGTGTGTCCAGCGGGTGGCTATGAGCGAAACGGATTCGAATCTGGGTTGGGTGTGTCTCCAGATGTGGGTCATGCACTTTGCATGCTTTACTCCAGCCCAGGCCTCTTATGACAATGGACATAAGCGCTGGGCAGCCCAGGCTCCTACCTCCGTTCACTGACTTCTTCTTTCTTATGCTGTTAAACTTACACCGATAATACCGTTTGAACACTCGGGCTGCTGAGGCTTTCGGAAACGTCTGCTCCACCACGTGAGATGTGAGAGACTTCTCCTCGTACAACTGTTTCCACAGCATTACTTCCTCCACGCTTGTCAAACTTAACCGAAGGGTAATATTGAACTTGTCTTTATCTTCCTCGTCATATGGGAAATAATCACAGAGTTTGTAGTCATAATTCTCCGGAAGTATCCTCAACAGCTGTGGGGAGTTCTCCAGGTCAAATTCTTCACATTTGCATACAATGCGTTTGCTGGTGCTGAACCAGTGCTCGGGTCGATTCCCCCCCTGTTTTTCCTTCCGTTTTTCTGATTCTGCCATTGTGGGACGTCAAAGGTCATAAAACATTAGCTAAAAGAGAATGCATCTCCACAAACCTGGAGGACAAATGAAATAATTTTTCTTTAGAAACCATTTATGTTGTAACCCCATTGCTGGGTTCAACTGGCTTTTTCATTATGAACATATTCAAGTAGCAGTTCACATCTTAAAACAGTTCCTTCCTTAACAGAAACATATTTCTTGTAGAAAAACAAAACAGTCTAAAGTATCCAGTCTTCTGTATGTACCTATCAATGAGGGATAGTTTTCAGAACATTACTTTTTCCAGTATTTGCTGTAGTCGCTCACGTTGAAGCTATCCTCAAAGTCTTCAATCACTTCTAATTTCTGTTTAGGCTTCCTGTTTGCAAGAATCATTTTCTTCTCGGCCTCTGACAACTTGGAAAAGTCCAAAGGAAGCTGTAAAGAAACGGAGAAGAAAAAAAACATCTTTGGAAAATAACTCTCAATACACAAATCAGATGCAGAAGAATTTGCATTTTCTGTTTCCCACAAGTTAAGATACCTAAAACACAGAGTTGAAGGCCATCTGCGGCTGAGATTTTCCCCATTTCCCCTGGTTTGACAAAGCAGTTTTTCCCCTCCATCAAAGTTTCGAGCGTCCACTTTAATTATTTATGTTTCAAAGTCATTGAAAAATGAGTTTAAAAAAATATATTTTGCAATTTTGGATCATGTTTTTAAATACAGTGGAATCCTGTTATAACGAGAGGGAGGGGACCGGTACGAATGTCGGTTATAGCAGGATTCTCATTGTAAGGGATCCAGTAATAAATTCAAAGGAAATAATAAAGTAGGCCTAATCTATGAGTTTGGTGTTCTATTTCTTTTTGTTATCTCATCTGATGATGGTTTTGTTCAACATGACCGCTAGGTCTTACTTGATCCAAAATTGAATCAGGTTTCTTTCTCTGGCATTAGCGATGTTGACAGCTCGGCGTTGACGATCAGAACGAAAGGTTCTCTAGGCTAACTCGCCCGCTGTGTTTTCCCCCACCCCACCACACCTTGTGGTGCATTCCCACATCTGCTTACACAGGTGTTGTACTTTGTAGGCCTACTTGCTACAAAGGAAAGCCAATGGCATTCAAGTTAGCAGCTGCCTGTGACATAGTGACGTTGACTGTCCGGGTCTAGTACTTTCTCTCATTCACAGGGCAGGTAGGCAGTGGGCTGACATAGCTGAATTCTTTTTCAAATATTGGAATCAGGGAACTCTGAACCAATTTTCATAAAATTGAATACAAATGTAATGATTCCACCAAATTCCTAACAGCCCTGCCAAGTCACATCAACTTACACAAAATCCATATCATACCAATATTTTCTTACCACCCAACACAACACACTACTTCACTTCGACTATGAAGATCTTAATATTATTTTCTGTTGCTTTTCAAGGATAAATCCAAGACAAAAGTAGATATATTTAATCATATTTTAAGTTTCACCAAAAAAAAAAAAAACACATTAAAAAATGACACAAAATGTTAAGGCTACACAGATTTCCATGTTACATGTTCTGATCCTGAGCAGTACCACAAGCAAAAAGACTGTCTTGTGGGCTCAAAGTAAATATGTTAGGAAATAGATCAGGGAGTAGGTACACAAGTCAATATGTCAGGAAATAGATCAGGGAGTAGGTACACAAGTCAATATGTCAGGAAATAGATCAGGGAGTAGGAATACAAGTCAATATGTCAGGAAATAGATCAGGGAGTAGGTATACAAGTCAATATGTCAGGAAATAGATCAGGGAGTAGGTACACAAGTCAATATGTCAGGAAATAGATCAGGGAGTAGGTACACAAGTCAATATGTCAGGAAATAGATCAGGGAGTAGGTATACAAGTCAATATGTCAGGAAATAGATCAGGGAGTAGGTACACAAGTCAATATGTCAGGAAATAGATCAGGGAGTAGGAATACAAGTCAATATGTCAGGAAATAGATCAGGGAGTAGGTATACAAGTCAATATGTCAGGAAATAGATCAGGGAGTAGGTACACAAGTCAATATGTCAGGAAATAGATCAGGGAGTAGGAATACAAGTCAATATGTCAGGAAATAGATCAGGGAGTAGGTATACAAGTCAATATGTCAGGAAATAGATCAGGGAGTAGGTATACAACAAGTCAATATGTCAGGAAATAGATCAGGGAGTAGGTATACAAGTCAATATGTCAGGAAATAGATCAGGGAGCAGGTACACAAGTCAATATGTCAGGAAATAGATCAGGGAGCAGGTATACAAGTCAATATGTCAGGAAATAGATCAGGGAGCAGGTATACAAGTCAATATGTCAGGAAATAGATCAGGGAGCAGGTATACAACGCACAAAAAAAGTAGAAAAAGATGGGGTAATCAGGGAACCTTCGAAAGGCACAAAAAAGTAGAAAAAGATGGGGTAATCAGGGAGCAGGTATACAACGCACAAAAAAGTAGAAAAAGATGGGGTAATCAGGGAACCTTCGAAAGGCACAAAAAAGTAGAAAAAGATGGGGTAATCAGGGAACCTTCGAAAGGCACAAAAAAGTAGAAAAAGATGGGGTAATCAGGGAGCAGGTATACAACGCACAAAAAAGTAGAAAAAGATGGGGTAATCAGGGAACCTTCGAAAGGCACAAAAAAGTAGAAAAAGATGGGGTAATCAGGGAACCTTCGAAAGGCACAAAAAAGTAGAAAAAGATGGGGTAATCAGGGAGCAGGTATACAACGCACAAAAAAGTAGAAAAAGATGGGGTAATCAGGGAACCTTCGAAAGGCACAAAAAAGTAGAAAAAGATGGGGTAATCAGGGAACCTTCAAAAGGCACAAAAAAACCTCATTTAAAATGAGGCAAGCCTCTCATACAACAACAATCAAGATTTCTTTCCTACATTATTATATAATCTCCGTAAAAAACTTGTTAAAAACCATTATTTGGCCCACCTTAACTATCCGCCTTGGTTCGTGATATCTAATGTTGATAGTGCTGCCGTCAGGGAAAACGAGAAGAGTAGGGTATGTCCTTGGGTACAAATTTCTCTTGGTCCTTGTAATGGAAGCTGCATTTGAATTGTGTCTTAACTGACAAAGACCAATTGCTGAAGCAGGGGCAAAAGCATTGTGAGAAATCTGTGTTGTGGACCTGTAAACACACAGAAAACATCATAAACTTCTTACAATCTTTCACCAAGGAGTTCAAACTGAAGAAGGCATTATCTTTTATTTGAGTTTTATAGAGATTTTCTCAATGAGACGGTGCATACACTACACCTCAAGATCCCCACCCCAATTTTTAAAAATAATGATACATTAAATTAAATTAATAAACATATATATAAATATCATGATAAAATAAAAATAATGTCGTAAAAAAAAAAAAATCTTTTAAAGGAGAAAACAAAAAAAAGAAGCAAAGAGGGAAAAGATAATAAAAATACAACGGACAGACTTAAATGTGAACATGAACACCCACAATGAGATCAAACTCTCTTGCAAACGGTTTGAATAAAGACAAGCATTAACAGCTATTTAAAGCCTGGAAAAAGCCAGATAGACACACACCCCTCCCCCCCAACACCCCCACAAACAGAGGCACAGGGAAGAAGAGAGAAGTAGGATTTCTACAAATCTTGCACTCAACTTAAAATGACAAACTGATTGAAACCACCAGCATAAACTGTTTATGAAGTGTACCATAATATCATAGTCTAATACGCATAGCACATATATATAGATAGATAAACCCTATCTCTCTCTAAGTAGACTTTATGACTAGTTTATTCTGATTCTGCCAACACCATTGTCATTGCTCGGTGGACTTCTGCAGTTACACCAAAGAAACTACACCTTACGGTAGGCTGTACCATCTTTGGTTACACTCAACTCCAAATTAGCTATACATTTTTATAGAGCTGAAAGGAAGCAAAAATATTTGTAATGGCAAATTGAAAGAAACCTAGTGAATGAATAGGGTGCTTTCCTTGGTATACAGGCCAATTAGAAATTTGTAATTGTCCAACGAGCAGCCTCCCTTTACGCAGCCATGATGTCACATTGAGTTTTTCTCTCTCTCCCTCCTCTCTCTTTCTCTCTATCTCTCCCTCCTCTCTCTTTCTTACTCTGTCTGTCGGTCTGTTTGTCTCTCCCTCCTCTCTCTCTCTCTTTTTCTCTCCCTCTCTCCCCCTCCTCTCTCTCTCTCCCTTTCTTACTCTGTCTGTCGGTCTGTTTGTCTCTCTCTCTCTCTTTTTCTCTCTCTCTCTCTCTTTCTCTCTCTTTCTTTCTCTCTCTCTCTCCCCCTCCTCTTTTTCTTACTCTGTCTGTCGGTCTGTTTGCGTCTCTCTCTCTCTCTTTCTTCCCCTCTCTCTGTCTCTCCCTCCTCTCTCTCTGTGTGTGTGTGTGTGTGTGTGTGTGTGTGTGTGTGTGTGTGTGTGTGTGTGTGCGTGTGCGTGCGCGTGCGAGCATGCGTGTGTGCGTGTTATGTCTTTGGCCCAGAACCAGATACATGTATATTTATTCTTTAATTCCAGCTATTTGCAAGCGTATTTTCTATCATGCATACATTTTTATACAGATCAAAAGAAAGGAAAGTTGATACTCATTGATAGCACGAACTGACAAACTACCAAACGAGAGCTGAAAACGAAAGCTCTCAATGTCATCTCCAGCTCTCCTTTTCTGAGAAACTCATTATTGGTCAATGTTCCCTGTACTGTCTTCTTTTGTTCTACACCAAAACTGTGCTGGTGTTTATATTTACAGACAGACAGACAGACAGACAGACAGACAGACAGACAGACAGACAGACAGACAGAGATTTTAGATCAATCCCTATAGTCAATTCATTCTTTCGTCTCAGCCTAGTAATTGCCTCCTTCAACTTCAACGACATTTGCTGATGCTGATGCTAGCGTGCAATCAACGAAATTAAAGTGCTGTTTCGGCACTACCCCGGTTTCAACAGTTATCGAGCTCAGAAAAAGCTTTTTGAACACCTTTCCAAAATACTTTGATGCCCTGGTCTCAATTTCTCAAGATTACAAAAAGCCTACTATGGCACCGACATTCTTGAGCACATCACAGGACAGTTCGAACATTGATAGGCACTAGACTAGAGGTGTGGTGTAGAGGTAGAGTGAGGAGCCTGTCGTGCCTGTGATAGTCTGTCCCCGTCGTTTTATGCAAGAAAAATTCTGAAATTATGCAAATTGAGCCCAAAAATATGAAATTTATGCGATTCTGTTAATTTTAACAAAGAATGATAACGGAAAATAATCAGAAATTAAGCAAAAAATGATCAAATTTTGCTAAATTATGCGGGGTGCATAAAACCACGGGGACAGGATAGTAGTCAAGAGGAAACTTTAGATGAGGATGAACTTGCTCCTCACCCCATTGCCAAAAATAAAATTTCACCAATGAAGAAAGATACAGAAGTAGGTGACAATGACGGAATGCATTTTTTTATTTTGCCTTTGAGAATCCACCATCAAATTCAAATAAAGTGCCAGCAAAAGTTACAAGGAAGTGCAAAAGCTATGGAGGCTGAAACAATATTGGCAAAACCAGCGCAACACTGAGGTGTAGTATACAGCAGGATGCTGTGAGACAGAGATGCCACATCTCATCATCAGATGCTCAATTTTTATGACATTTATCACTTTGAAAGGGTAAAAGATGACTAGAGACTATATAAATCGTATTAGCAAAAGTATGTTCCATGCCGTTCAGAGCTTCCAAAACATCAACAACGAAGACCTGAACAGGAGACCCACGAAGATTGAAAAACAAAACAGTTACAAACACCTCACAAAACCTGGACGTAACAATTACTTGTGTTCATTAGTTTTAATTGTGCTTTTGTTCATGAGCTGTTGGTTTCTTACCGAGCTCGAAACCTCTTTTGTACATGGACCGTGTAAGATTTTGAACATCTGTCAGTGAGGAACAGAGGCCACGAAACTGCCATGGTTTTGGGTGGCCTTGGGTGGGATGAACAAAGCCGCCCTTGTGAGAATCACCGGATGCCTTGGTTTAGTGGACTACATCGTGCAAGTTTGGAACGTCATGTCTTACCCTTATTTTTGTCATGGTGTCATCCAAGTAGTCATCCCCATGCTAAACAAGGCATTTTCTTATAGGGCCAATGCCATTAGAAAATTTTTAAAAAACCAAATCAAGTCAAAGTTCGAGCGGTTACCAGTAAACAGCCCCGATATGAGTCCTACAGGTGTGTGAAGTACATGTACCGGTACCAGTAAACAGCCCCGATATGAACCCTACAGGTATGTGAGGTACCAGTAAACAGCCCCGATATGAACCCTACAGGTATGTGAAGTACCAGTAAACAGCCCCGATATGAACCCTACAGGTATGTGAAGTACCAGTAAATAGCCCCGATATGAACCCTACAGGTATGTGAAGTACCAGTAAACAGCCCCGTTATGAATCCTACAGGTATGTGAAGTCCCAGGCCCACAGAGAAGTGTGTAGGCCCACAGAGAAGTGTGTAGGCCCACAGACAAGTGTGTAGGCCCAGGTGAAGTCCTAGGCCCACAGACAAGTGTGTAGGCCCACAGACAAGTGTGTAGGCCCACAGAGAAGTGTGTAGGCCCACAGAGAAGTGTGTAGGCCCAGGTGAAGTCCTAGGCCCACAGACAAGTGTGTAGGCCCACAGACAAGTGTGTAGGCCCACAGACAAGTGTGTAGGCCCACAGAGAAGTGTGTAGGCCCAGGTGAAGTCCTAGGCCCACAGACAAGTGTGTAGGCCCACAGACAAGTGTGTAGGCCCACAGAGAAGTGTGTAGGCCCAGGTGAAGTCCCAGGAAACAGCGGCTAGGGAAAATGACTTTGCCCCCAATTGAGACCCTTTGTTTGCAACTCTCTGTGACATTTGAAATGTAATGACCGATAAATGCGTTCAAAATTTAATAGAATTGATGCCCAAATGTTTCGTGCACAACACAAAGCCAATAGTTCCTAAACAAAATAACAATGAACACAATTAGTGTTGAGTCCAAGTTTTGTGTGGTATTAATCTATTTGTGATTGCTCTGTTTTCCGTTATGTTTGAAACTATCGTGACAAAATATCGTAATAAAATATTGTTTACTGCAAAGACAAAATCCTCTTTTCATTAGACATGAAATATATATATATATATATATATATATATATATATATATATATATATATAGCCATTCGATCAATATTGATACCCTTTAACGTTTCTTTGATTTCGCACATTTTTGCCAAGCCTGATTTTTTTAAGGTCAAAATTTGAGTGACCATATCTCGGGCGTCTCTAAAAATAGATTAGATGATAATATATTAATGTGTCAGATGATGGAGAATTTATTTAGCTTTAAATTGGTATGCTGCAAGAGTGGGTAATGCAAGGCTTTAACATGATGACTGGGTGATTACATTTTCAAGTTTCTTTTGGACGCCACTGTATAACTATAACTACGTTTACAAAAGTTTTGCTCGTCAAAACTTTAAGGACTTTTTTCTCAAAATGGGCTCTTTCAAATGGGATGGGAATGCAAAAAAATCTATCATTCGAAAAGTTCTTAAGATATCTTCATAATTTTTGATATACTGATAGATGAAACAATATTCAAGTGTAATAAGTGGTGAAGTCAAAAAACCATCTTGACTATAAATGATTTTATTATAAATTTAATCGGTTGTTATGATCTGAGATTTTTGTGGTCAGAGTATTCCCCTAGTTTGGACCTCGATTCTGAAAAGGTTTGTCCTCCTACATAAAAAATGTCCATCCACTAAAACAGCCACATAAGGCTGCAAAGCCACTTATTGTACTATTTTAGAATCATTTATAACCTTAGGATAGATTTTTTAGAAATGTGTACATTTTCTCTATAATGACATTCCAATATGGCAGCCGTTACCATAGCAACACAAAAGAATTTTCACATTTTTCTTCAAGGCCCAATTCTCCACTCTACGTACATTGATGCTATCACATTTGTAAGCTTAGTTTCTTCTTCTTAACCAATTTGAAAATTTCCCCCGCATCCTGCATTAATTGCAGCATAACTTCTTCCTATACATTTTATCATTTCAGGATGACTGCTATAATACGCTACATAATAATGACACTATTTGGATGTCCATTTTTAAATTTACTACAATAAATAATAAAACGCACTAATCATGATTTTGCCGTTATGATTAGAATTAAGAATATA